ACAGTTAGAACAATTAATTAGTGGAACAACCTGCCTCCAGAAGGTGTGAATGCTCTAACACTGGAAGCAACAATGACTAGAAACAATAACAACAATGCATTGGCTGTATAAAATGTAAAAAAATTAATAAGGAAAATATCTAGCTTATTACGTGTTCACCAAGCATGATAAAATATCCATTCTTATTATTCACATCTTATATTAGATACTACTCGCTGTGCACTTTTATTAAGAGGAAGGTGATAAGACTGTTGGAATTGGAAGACATTCACACTTAAAAAAACTCATATTCATAAACTGAAGCATAAAGGAGTGTCCTTCAATGCCTTTCCTGTGACGGTTCTATATTGGTGATTGATGTTTTATAATTTTTATCTTTTAGATGATACACTTTTTTTCAGGACAAAAAATAGACCTCAAAGTAGCATCAACTGTATTATTATTCATAACAAGGTAAATCCAGGAAGGAAAAAAAAGGGGGGAAGACCAAAAAAATTATATAAGACATACAATCTTGCAGAAGGAATAGAACTTTAATTTGCAGAAGGTGGTCAAACCTCTAAGCTAGGACAATTTTTACATTTGCAATATATGTGGAATATCAGTTATCCTAGTATAGATATAATTATCTCATTTATCATAATCAAAATAGACATATTTAATGATTCATGTGAGCTCACTTTTTCAGTAAAATAACCATAACCTTACAAAAGAAATGGGGCACACAAGCCTCATAATTTTTTTTTAAAAGATATATGTGGTCCTCATAATACCTATAGTTTTTCATTATGCATTTTGTGAGAAGATGAGGAATGGCTCTCTAATCAGGTGGAAAATGATTATGAGCCAGAATAACAATACTGATGAAGTTACATGGAGGTAATATAGATTATCTTTGCTTCTCTGTATTGTCATTAGGGGTGCGGACAAACCCTGGGTCAAAGGTCAGGCTGAATGCAGATATTCTGTGCATGTCTGTGAACAAGGCATGTGGAGAATTTGGAATCAAGCACTGGGTGTGTTTGGATCTTATTTCTGCACATTGTTCATCACTTAAAAAAGATAATTATGTTAAATTAATGCAAAAAATTAAAGTTGATCTAGAACATTGGAAAAATTTACACCTTTCGTTACTTGGGAGAATTGCTGCTGTAAAAATGAATATCCTACCCAAATTGATTTTTTTGTTTCAGAATATTCCAATTTTCTTGGATAAAAATTTCTTTAAGGAGTTAAATAAAATAACTTTAGAATTTGTATGGGCTGGTAAAAAGGCTAGAATAAAATTAAAGGCTTTACAGGATGCCAAGGAAAGGGGTGGTTTAGGCTTATTATATTACCAGGCCGTGGCCCTATCTTGGATTAGTGATTGGATAACCTTAGAGAATCAAAGATGTATTCAGTTAGAGGGTTATGATCTTCAGCAGGGATGGCATGCTCATATGTGGAAGGGGCAAAATAGAAATTATCAATATTTTTTAAAACACAAGGTTCGGCAAGGGTTAATTAAAAGTTGGAATACTGTCAAATCTCAATACTATATAAAGATTCCGACTTGGTTATCACCATTGGAGGCAGTTATATATCCAAATTTGTTCAGGAAAGATAAGGTTATAGGTACAAAGACATTTTGACAGAAGAGGGTCTTTTAAAATCTAAGCAAGAGTTAAGACAATATGGAATAGAGATAGAATGTTGGTCCTATCTCCAGATCCAAGCAAGATATCTGAAAGATAAACGTGAATGGGCTATTTATAGACAAGATATGGGTCTAGATAAAATTTTGCTTGGTCTGAAAAAAAAACAAATAAGGAATATTTATAAACACCTATTGGAGTACAGGTTATTTGAAGAACAGGTTAAAGAAACAATGGTGACATGGGACGATAGATTTAGGACACAACATCAATTTGGATCAATGGCAGCAGGTGTGGATGCGAAATAATAAAATTACATTGGCGTCATCATACAAAGAAAATTCGTATAAGATGATTTACAGATGGCATCTCCCTCCAGCAAAATTAGCCAAAATGTACAAAGGATACTCATCATTATGTTGGAAATGTAAAAAGGAAAAGGGCACATATTTTCATGTTTGGTAGCTATGTAAGGAAGCACAGAGATATTGGCGTATGGTTTGGGAATGGGTAACAGAAATGAGTATTCAAAACATCCAATATAAGCCTGAGACATTGTTGTTAGGAATTCTTGAAAATAATGTTAGTAAAGAAGATATATATTTATTCACTCATGTGGTTACAGCGGCAAGAATTGTATTCGCTCAAAATTGGAAAGCTACGGCTATACCAAGTGAGGAAATCTTAATTCATAAAATTATGCACTGCGCAGAATTAGATAGGTTACCTAAGAGACTCAAAAATCAGGATGAAACGGATTTTTACCAAATTTGGGATAAATTTTATAGATGGTGGGGGGGGGGTCAAATATGGTAGTCATTGTAATTAGATAAGTTAAGATTGAGATTAGAGTGATGTTATTGTAAAGGGTTTTTTTTCTTATATTATAGTTAATTGTGAATATGAACTGTGATGTATGTCAAATCTGATTTACTATGTTCAATGTTTTTAATTTTTGTTATTCAATAAAAAAATTTAAAAAAGAAAAGATCTCCACAGCCACCATGTATTTCCCCTTGGTGCTCAGAGAACCTTGGGGTGTAATCCATCTGGTCCTGGTGATTTGAACTTGTCTAGACTGGACAGGTGCTCACTTACAATTTTCTTGCCTATCTTGTGTTTCTATTCTGTTTTTATGGCACTATTTTTGACAGGTGAGCTGTTTTTTCCCTTTGTGTAAAGACAGATGCAAAAAACGAGTTAAATAGTTCTGCTTTCTCCCTGTTGCTTGTCACCTTCTTGCCACTTTCCCCTACTAATGGACCAATCATTTCCTTTACTTTTTTCTTGTTTTTTACATGTTGAAAGAAGATTTATTTTTTTGTTATTTTTGGCTTTGGTCACAAGCCTTAGTTCATTCTGAGCCTTAGCTTTCCTCACTTCATCTTTGCAGGCTCGGGCTATTTGCTGATATTCTGACTTAGTTATGTGCCCCTCTTTCCACTTTTTATACTTGTCCTTTTTATCTTTCAATATTTTGAGTTCTTTATGCCGCCATGCCGGTTTCTTTTGAGAGCTGTTATTTTTCTTCTTTGTTGGTATTGTGCTTGCCTGGGTTTTTATTATCTCACTTTTCAAAATTTCCCAAGCTTCTTGAGCTGTTTTTCCCCTGAGGATTCTCATCCATGGAATCTTTCCCTAGCCCTCTCTACGTTTATTGAAATTAGCTCTCTTAAAGTCCAAGACTCTAATTTGACTGTGTTCTATTGCTTGTGCTTCCATAATGTTGAATCAATATTGCATGATCACTTCCTGCCAAGTTTCCTGTGGCTTCAACACCATTTATTATTTCATCTCTGTTAGTGAGAATTAGATCCAATATGGCTAATCCCTAGTTCCCTTCTCTACTTTTTGGGAGACAAAGTTGTCTGCTAGGTTTGTCAGGAATCTGTTTGATCTTCCACTTGGTGCAGAGTTTGTTTCCCAGTTGATGTCAGAGTAATTACAGTCCCCCATTACTATTGTGTTGTGCTTCCTACATACCTTAGTTAGCTGACTAGCAAAAAAATCATCTGTTTGGTTGGGTGGCTTATAGTATACACCTATGACAATGTCATTTTTCCCCCTTTTATATTGACCCAAATGTATTTGAGACAATTTTCATCATTGTTGTGCTCTATTTCTGTAGAGATGTAGTTGTTTCTTATATAGAGAGCAACTCCACCTCCTGTTTTATTTGGTCTGTTTTTTTTACGTAATTTAAATCCCTCCAGCTGTGTGTTCCATTTGTGGGTTTCATCCTACCATGTTTCCATAATGACAACAATATCATATCTGCCCTCATTAACCTGAATTTCTAGTTCACCCTGTTTAGTGTTCATACTCTGTGCATTTGTGTATAGACATTTGAGTCCTTTATGACTGACCCTATGTTTACTTTCTACATAACCTGTGTGGTGCCTGAGTTCCCCTATTTTCTTACCACCTATTTGGTTAGTGCACTTTGTGTGGCATTCGCTATTAAAAGCTTGATTTTGCTTGATATTCCTGTCCACACACACACATCTATGTTACATGCACTGAAAGAGTTGCACTGAAATAAGCCAGTGTCCTGTTGGTGAACGTTATGAAAGAAATGGGGCACACAAACATAATAAAATTTAAATAAATAAATAAATGTATATGTAGTCATTATAATATTTAAAGTGTTTCTTCATGTACTTTTGGGAAAAGATAAGGAATGGCTCTGTAATCAGGTGGAAATGATTATGAGCCAGAATAACAATACTGATGAAGTTACATGGAGGCAAAATAGACTAGCCTTGTTTTTCTGTATTGCCATTAGGGATGGAGACAAACCCTGGATCAATGTCAGCCTGAGTGCAGACATGCTATGCATGCCTATGAACAAGGTTTCTGTAGAATCTGGAATCGAGCACTAGGTGTGCTTGGATTATATTTGCATTTATCTACATGCCTGCCCTTTGTCTGTGACTCTTTGTCTGTGAGTCTCTCTAGTTGGTCTACTCTAGGAAAAAACATAGCAAATATCAATATGACGATCAGAAATATGATAATGTAACTAGAGTATTGAGATCATTTTTTCTCAAAGCTCCTACAGTTCAGCATGTTAATGTTATCTCAATATTATTTCATTAAATAATTAGAAGGAAGGAAATGAAAATATTATTTCAAGGGAATAAGTACTTCATTTTTTATATTTTATTTATTAGAACAAGGGTGGATATCTCTGGGGTCATAATTTTTGGGATGTCCATGGTAGGTGATATCGATAAGCGCCTGGAGCAATCAGAAGGGTTAAATTTCCCATGATTTATAATGGCTTGGTTATGAACATTTCAAGTTTTGAATGGTTTGCAGTGAATATGTATGACAATGTATTTTTCATTGAAAAAACAGGAATTATAATTCTTCTTTCTTTCCTTTCATTAACTGCTTTTTATCATTCAGATCAGGCCTTAGTAGAATAACAAAGCATTTGGGGGAAAAAATGCAACCCAGTAACCCTGCACTGGAAGAGAGAATAGAAAAGATCTCCACAGCCACCATGTATTTTCCCTTGGTGCTCAGATATGTTGGAATAAAGGACAACCAGACACTACAAAAATACAACAGGCTGAAAGATATAAACTTGGTCTCATTAAAACTATCTGGTAAATGCCGGGCTTGAAAAGCCACAAGGAAACCAACAATGGCAAGGAAAAGCAGGTAGAGCAAAACACAATAAAACATGACAGTAGAGCCTTCATTACATCCTAGAATAATTTCATCTGCCACTAGGTTCATATCAGCATCTGGGTATGGGGGTGAGGTTACAAGCCATACAATGCAAAGAACAACTTGAATGAGGAAACAACAAACAACAATGTAATTATCTAATCGTTTGCCCAACCATCGTCTCATCTTGGAACCTGGCACTGAAGCCATGAAAGCTAAAATCACAATGGTGGTTTTGGCCAATATACAAGAAATGGCTACTGAGAAGATAATCCCAAATGCTGTTTGTCGGAAAAGGCAAGTCACCTTTTCAGGTTGTCCAATGAATAAAAAACTGCAAAGGAATGAGAGCACAAGAGAGACAAGCAGAAGGTAGGTGATGTTCCGGTTGTTGGCCTTGACTATGGGAGTGTCCTGGTATTTTATGAAGATCCCAAGTACCACAATGGCAATACAAGCAAAGGCAATTGCCATAATGGCCAAACTGGTTCCTAAGGGGTCTTCATAAGAAAGGAAAACTATCTGTTTTGGAAGACATGAGTCATGGTTGTTGTTTGGATATTGTCCTTCTGGGCATGGTAAACAATCATCCATATCTGCAAAAGAAAATGTTGTTATAACATGTAGAATATACTGCATTAATCAAGATATGGCTAATACTAAGTTAAGTAGGTGGTATTCCACATCTTAATCCTCCTTAATAGACTGTCTGAGATTTATAAAACTATTGGGCAGATGAAGGCACTAATAAACCATTTTTGTAATGCAATGAGTGAAACTGTATAGAATTGCCCTCAGTTCAAATTTACTTTTATTCGTGTTTGATGCGAAATTGGACCAATGTTGTAATTGTTCATAATCATAATTGGTCTTATGATTCAACTTAAAGTTTATCAGATTACAGTAGAGCTGACTTCATAGCCATAGATATAAGAAAAACAATTTATCTAAATTAGAATGTATATGTAATGGAAAACAACCAATATCCAAGCCAAGGATTTATTTGAGTTTCAATAAAGCAACACATCACATGTTTATTGAGATAAAGCCTACATTCTAAGAGCCAGTGATTGCTCATGGGATCTTTTCCTGGTTTTACCAACATTAATTGGGCTTTTAGTTGTTGGTGCAGTAGTTAGAATGCAGGATTGCAGGCTAACTCTGCTCACAGCCTGGAGTTTGATCCTTATAGAGTTCAAGATTGACTCAGTCTTCCATCCTTCCAAGGTCAGTAAAATGAGGGTCCATACAGTTGGGAACAATATGCTGACATTGTAAACCACCCAGGAAATGCTGTAAAGTATTATGATGTGAATAATAACAACAACAACAACAACAACAACAACAATAACAACAACAACAACTGAGGAAGATGAGAACTATGCCAGAGGTTCAACCATACTGGACAGGTCTCATCAGAAAGCCATACCGGCTCGGATGTTGCCTGGGTTAACAAGGTCCGCACTAGATATTAGAGTTCCTAGATATCTGGTGAAAAATGGGTTACAGGACTCAGGACTGTTGGCTGAGCAACCAGGGCCAGAAGCTGCAGAACTACTGGAAGAAAAGGTGTTTACCCGTCGTAGATACACAGTGATTGAAAACAAAGAAATAATGATCTGTTACTACAGATCAAGTCCAACAAGAAGATGATATCTAAAATGAATGCACCAGTTCTGGGAAGAAAAACATCCAGAATCAGAAATAATAGAACAGAGACTAGCAGATCAATGCCAATTTATAATACGAAATAAAGTATTCACAGAAACAGAATTGGACAAACTGCAAAGGTTTACCCAGGTCAAAGAAATCAAAGCCTTGCCAGAAATAATTCAGAATGTAGAGGCAAACCAGGGGCAGTTGGTACTGAAGGAATCCAGCAGAGATATACAACTGTTCTCATTTGGAAACCAGGCACCTCTTCCTCAGAAAGGACAAAACCCTCTAACTAAAGAAATAGTTTCCAAAGAAAAAGCTAGCACAAGCATTAAAATATGCAAATACTGCAATATCAAGTATAAGCACTAATTCACTGCAAAGAAACAAACCAACTAATGTACAGCACAGCTGCAGTTATAACTGAATACCTGGGATGCAAAATCAACAAAGAAGAAAAACAAACAGTGCACTAGAAAAATGGAAGGTTAGACTAGAAAATAAGATCAGCAAGTTAAGATCACATGCAAGTAAGCTAGAACAGATGAAAGAAAAGAAGCTGAAGAACAAGAAGACCAAAGCATACTTGTGGACTCAAGGTGCCGAATTTAAAATTGTATTATGATGTGGTGGTTTTAACTTTGATTAGTGATTGGGTTAACTTAACAAATTCAGATATACTTCTTTTGGAAGGATGGGATTTATTATTTGGATGGCATGCGTATTTAATTTATAATAAAAAGGTGGATAGGGTTTTTAAATTCCATGTCTTAAGAATTGCTTTATTGCGTGTCTGGAAGAAATATTATAGATTAAATTTTAGAATACCATTGTGGGAATTCCTGGGCACGCTATAGAAGGGATAAGGAAAGGAGTGAAAATGGATAGGATTTCTTACAAGCAATTACTTAAGTGGGAACGGAATAAGTGGCAATTAAAATCGATGGAGGAATTAACGCAAGAAAATATTATCTATTCTTGGTTTCAGTATAGGCAGTTATTAGAAAGATGGAGTATAGATCAAAAAGTGGGTTTTATTACGGAAGATGTGAATTTGGTGAAACAAATTAAAGACCAAAATCGAGCCCACATGAAAAGAGTTTATAATGTTTTAGTGGAATTGGATTCAGAAATAGAATTAGTTAAGGATTGTATGGTTAAGTGGGCTCAAAACTTTGAAGAGCCGATTCCATTAGACACATGGGAGATAATTTGGGTGAGGAATGTTAAGTTTACCCAAGCTCAAAATTTGCGAGAAAATTTTTATAAAATGTTTTATAGATGGCACCTTGATCCACAAAAGATGTCTCGTATGTATCCCAATTTACAGCCCAAATGTTGGAGATGTGGTAGTTTGGATGCAACGTATTATCATATTTGGTGGTCATGTAGAAATATAAAGGCTTTTTGGATTAAGATTTGGTGGAACATTCAAAAAATTTTTAATAGAAGGATAAAATTTACACCACAATTATTTTTGTTAGGTATTATTGAAGATTGTGATAGTAAACAGATTATTTTAATGTTGAATTTTATTACGGCGGCAAGGTTATTGATTGGGCAATATTGGAAAAAAGATTCCTTGCCTATCTTAGAGGAATGGTTTCTTAAAGTTTCTTATTTATCAGAAATGGCTAAAATTTCGGCTTATCTGAAAGACCATTCACAAGAGAGATATAATTCTGTGTGGAAAAGATGGGTAAATTTTGTTCAGAACAAATATGAGATTAGAAAGTATTATTTAGCTTTTGAATAATTTATACTTAAAGTTGTTATGGTTAGATTTGCTGATTTTATTGTATTGGAGTTAAAGTGTTTTCTAAATTTTTTAGGATTTATGTATAGTTGATTGATGTTTATATAATTTTTATGGTTTTTTTCTGTTCTTTTTAGCTCTGTATTCAGCTCTGGGAAGGGGGGAGGGTTAAGGGGGGGAGGGGGAGGGAGGGGGGAAGGAATTTTATTGTAAAAGCTTATAAAAATTTTAATTAAAAAAAAGGAAGCACTGGAAACAATAAAGCAACAAATAACAGCTATAGCCAGGAAATCAGTAGATATGAAGCTCAAATTGCAAACTATAGGCGGAACCTCCAATTTCAATCCAATCAGAAACGTTTCTACCAATCCATCAATGGAGAAACTCCAATGAATCAGTCAGAAAGGACAAGGAAGAAACAGTGCAATTCTGGAAGCAGATATGGGATAACCCAAAGAAATATAACAAGGATGCGGCTTGGTTAAAAGAGGTGGATGCAAATAAAACAGAAGCTGAAATGAAAGAACTAGTAACAACAAAAATGGTAGAAAAAAGAGCAAGGAAGATCAAAAATTCATCAGCACCAGGTGAAGATGAACTGCATGGGTTTTGGTTGAAACATCTAAGTGTTAAAACATCTAAGTGTTTTCTAAGTGTAGAAAACAAATATCTAAGTGTTACTATATATACTCACTCATTGCCAAGCAGTTCAACAATATATTACAAGGAGAAGAAATTGAAAAGTGGCTAACAACTGGGAAAACCTACCTAATAATGAAAAATCCAGCAAAAGGGACAACATCAGGAAACTATAATTGGTGTGGTAGCTGATGCAGTACAACAGCATCTAGTTGAAAACAATCTCTTTCCCACTGAGCAGAAAGGAAACCACCCCAATAGCAGAGGAACACAGATCAACTCCTAATAAACAAAATGATCTTGGAAAATTGCAAGAAAAGGAAGACCAACTTGAATGTGGCATGGATTGATTACAAAAAGGCATTTGACTCTCTGCCACATGATCAAGTGACTAGAAATAATAGGAGTCAGTAGAAACATCAGAAAATTTGTGCAAAGATTGATGGCACAATGGAAGACACAGTTGAGGTCAATGGTGAGAGACTGGGAGAGGTTAACATCAAGAGAGAGTATTTCAAGGAGATTCATTATCACTATTACTACTTGTTATTGCACTGTTTCCTCTGTCAACAATAACTCAGGACATGGCTATCAAACATCAAAAGCATCTGCCAGATTATCCCACCTCCTTTACATGGATGATCTGAATCTGTATGGATAAACATCATCTGAAATGGAATTGTTGCTCAACACTGTCCGTATATATAGCCAAGATATTGCAATGGAGTTAGGCTTGGACAAATGTGCCACACTTACTCTCAAACAAGGAAAAATAGTGAAAACTGAAGGAATCAAGATGTCCCACAAAAATAACATTAAGAGTCTGGACAAGGAAGATTATTACAAATACTTGGGTATCCTTCAAGCTGACAACATCAAGCACATTGAAGTCAAGAAAAAGATTAGAGGTGAATACATCAAGAGAGTGAAGAAGATCTTAAAGTCCAAACTCAATGAAGAAAATACTATAAAGGCAATCAACACCTGGGCAATTCCAGTCATTAGGTACACAGCTGGAATAGTGGACTGAACTCAAGCAGAACTAAAAGCAATGGATAGGAAGACCAGAAAAATAATGACAATGAATCATGCCCTTCCTTCCACACAGTGATATTGACAGACTTTATCTACCAAGGCAAATAGGTGGGCGTGGAATGCTGCAAGTACATCAGATGATTGAAGAAGAAAAAATGGCTTTGGAAGAATATCTGAAGGGTATTGATGAAGATGCACTGAAATTAGTAAATCAGGAGGCTTACTGACTACTGGAGAGAGCAAACTGGCCTACAAGAAAGACCAAATGAAGAACAGAATAGAGGCATGGGAAGACAAAGCACTACAAGGGCAGTACATTAAAAAAATAGCTGGGAAAGCAGATAATAACAAGACCTGGCAGTGGCTAAGAGCAGGAAAATTGAAAAAAGAGACCAAGGGACTAATTCTTGTTGCACAAGACCAAGCCTTAAGGGCAAATGCATATAAAGTTAAAATTGAGAAGACAGCAACAGACAATAAGTGCCGCCTATACAAAGAATCTGAAGAAACAATGGACCACCTGGTAAGTTGCTGAAAGAAGATCGCACAGACTGACTACAAGCAGTGGCATGACAAAGTAGCAACAATGGTGTATTGGAAGATCTGCAAGAAATATCATTTGCCTGTAAGCAAGAACTGGTGGGATCATAAAATAGAGAAAGTCATAGAAAATGATAAAATTAAACTGCTCTGGGACTTCAGAATTCAAACAGACAAGCACCTGCAACATAACACCCCCTATACCTGTCCATTTGGTTTTTCGTGCCTAAATGTAGAACCTTACTTTTTTCACCATTGAAAAAATATAGGTCTAAGTGCTATTGCTATTATCATTGAGCTGCCAAGGTTCTTTCTTTCTTTGGGAAGGTAATTAGGGAGTGGATGGGAAATTATTTCAGTCATCTAAACCAGCACCTTCTTTTTATCTTCTGTACAGAACTGGAACTCCTTTTCCTGAATAGTCTTTGCACGGAATGGTTCCTTCTATACAGATTTATTTTATTTATTTATTTATGAAACTTATATACCGCTTTAAGTGCAAGCACTCTCTAAGCGGTGTACACCAGTAAGCAATGTATATATATATTTACATTGCCCCCAACAATCTGGGTCCTCATTTTACCTACCCCGGAAGGATGGAAGGCTGAGTCAACCTTGAGCCGGTGAGATTTGAACCGCTGACCTGCTGAACACAGTCAGCTAAAGTGGCCTGCAGTACTGCACTCTAACTGCTGCGCCACCTCGGCTCATAAATGCTGTATATCTTACCTTTCTTGCTTGCCATCTTCCCTTCTGGACATGAAAAGCACTTATAGCAGCAAAATGGCTTTCCTTCAATTTCGCTCCTACTTGAACCTGAAACACAATGGTCATTACACATGGAACGTGGTCTTTTCTGTAAATAGAGATGAATAAAATGAGGAGTCAATCTGATATTTTTGATATACTATGACCTTGCTGGTCTTTCAAATAAGGTTCACCCAAAGCAATAAAAAAGGTTCCTTTGCAATCATATTGTAGAGACCTCTGGAAAAAAAATTCATGGTTTTAATTTTTGGTTGTTTTTTTTTTTTTTGGTTAATTCATTTAAAAGACATTAAAGTTTAATGTACAAATATGTGTTTACTTTGAAGTGCTTTTTATTGGATAGACTTGTTTTTGTGATAGATAGATAGATGATAGATAGATAGATAGATAAATAGATAGATATCTTTATTGTCACGTTTTACTGTGGGAACAGTGGCACACATTAAAAATGAAATTTCAAAGTGTACCCATAGGTTATTTTATTTTATGCTGTGATTATATTCAAGCAATACGATAAGGACTTGGAAGACCAATTTTAATTTGCTTAATTAATGATTAATTTGCTCCATCCAAGAAAGAATTTTTATGCAACTAAGCTCACTTGTTTAAACTAGCAAAATATTTAAATCAAATAAACTTCTCAATGCCATAAATAGAAACATGAACAATTTTAATGCCCCCTGTCTCCCTGGTGCTATTTCACCAGTACTACTAAAACTACAAACAGTATCAGGCAAAGATGCATAGTGATCTTCCTGGTATTTAACCAGGTAAGAGCTATGGTGGTGCAATGATCCATCCTTCCAAGATCAGTAAAATGAGGACCCAGATTGTTGGGGGCAATATGCTGACTCCGTAAACTGCGTAAAGCGGGCTGTAGAGCACTATGGAGCAGTACATAAGTCTAACTGTTCTTCCTATCGTGAAGTCCATAGTAGGCATTTCTATAACATGGACTTTCACACCCCACAATTTGCTAAAAGAAACATTTATGTTCTATCTTATGCAGATAATGCAGTAATACCAAGAATGTCTGTTGGCCCTAACACAATATTGTAAGAAAAATCAGTGGGAACTCAAATATGGGGAAAAAAAAAAAAAAAACACCTCATGGAATTTGCCAAAGGACACAAAAAACATTGCTGGAACATCAAGGATCACAACATTGAGCAGGTTTCCTTTTTAAAATAATGGAGCCTGATATTAACATTTTAAGAGCAGCCTTCTAATACCATCTTCTAACTAGGGAGATGGTTTGGAAAGTGGATTTGGCCATAGTAAACTCTTAACTCAGATTGTCTGTCTTTCCCCTAGATATCAGCCTTCTAACTACAAGCAATATTTTCTAATGCAGATGGAAACAGACAGTGATGATGCAGATTTTATCCTTGGACCTGTCTTCTACTGAGTTATAATGCTGTTCTGTAAATATACACAAAGAGATTTCATATGATCCTTATTCTTATCAATACTTTGCTTAGTTATTTTCTAATAATTTTAGAGAACATATATTTTAATGTACAGTTTAATTATATTAGTTTTATTAGTATTTTATAAATATGCTATTATTGTAATAAAGTGTTTAGAGTATATCATATTTGATTTATTTTATAATTCTCAATATATAACTGCACCTACTTCACTTTCTTGATCCTGATTATATTTTCTGTCTTTTATCTCTCGTTTTATTATTTAATGTTGTTGGCCATTGACCGAATAAATAAATAAGTTTCAATTTCAATTTCATATGAGCAGTTGGATAGTCAAGCATTTAAGCTTTCTTTAGGCCAGCAATATATTTAAATAAAATATATGCTCCCAAATTCCAAAGAGAACAAATTTATCACATTTTGCTGATCTCTTAGCAGCCATTTGGTTTATGTTTGTATTTGATTCCATTTTAAACAGAAATAATCAATTATGTTAATCTTCTGAATTTTAGTCACAAAATATAATATAAATTTTAGTATTACTCCTGTTGTTATTTTTCTATTTGCAGTGACTCATTGATGTATTAATCCCAACACATTATCATTTGGATTAGGCACACTTAATCAAGTGGATCATTTGGATCATTTATTATCTGCCCTCATTTATGGGGCTCACTTCTTTGTCCACTACTATTTGGTTAACCAGAATAAAGGCAATGTAAAGTAAACCCATTAACATTGACAAGTCATGCTCTAAAATGAAATTTATTTTTAGACCTTTTGTATCCACAGTAGCAAAGGAGAAATCAACATAACCTACTCATTAATGAATTCAGAAATAAAGTTCTGCAATATTCACCACTATTCAGTAATAAATATTTGACATAGAAATGACCAAACCAACATAACACCCTTCTTCTGAAGTTAGTCCTTCAGAAGCTGAAGAGTGACAAACATGTTGGCAGGGATTGGAACATCCATTCCTTTATTTTCTCATCATGAGATACAGAGCTAATGCAAGGAAACTTGCTGTTTGAGTGAAGAGAAAGTATCTCTCTCAAAGATTGAGAGAACTTGGGAGAACTACTTGCCAAGGAGAACATGATGTGGGGAAGAACATGATGGGGAAGCTTAGTGGCTAAATGAGAATTCACTATTCACTATAAAGAGCATCCTAGCAGTTGAAAGTTATGCCTTGGACTATCTCCCCAGACAAAGAACTATTAACTCCCCTTTTGACACTGAAATAGTGCTATTTCTTATCTTTGTCCTGGTTTTCCACTTTATTGGGCTGCTTAAGGGAACCTCAGAATGACACATTAGGTATTGACTGTTGCATTAATCACTGTAACAATGTCTGATTGGGATAGCAACTTATTCCAATGAAACTTAAGCATCATGAATATTTTATACTAGGCAGAGGTTTGTGGACTAGCAGAGAGGGATTTGGGTCCCAGTCACCATACAAGCTGTTGAGTTATCCCATAGAACAATCTCATTCTACCTAATACTATTAGATAGGAAAAGGCAACATTCAACCAAATTCAGCTGCTTCTCAATATTAAAGAAATAATTTAACATTGCTTCTTCCAGGAAGGTTTAATGAATTTGCATAAAACCTGGAGTTTTAGGGGAAGAAGGTGTGTAAAGGAATAAAAAAACACAAAATTGAATAAAGACAAATACTTCCAACTTCCTTTGATACAGTTGCAAATTGTATATATATATATATAGTATATATATATGTGTGTCTTTGGTTATTCGGGTTTTCTCCCACGTAAAATTGGAAGTGTCTTGGTGACGTTTCGATGAAGTCCCATTCGTCATCTTCATGCTGGTGTTTTCAGCTTCATGCTTTGTGATTTGTGCTTCGAGGAGCATTGTTTCTCGAAGCACGAAGCTGAAAACAAAAGCCTGAAGATGACGAATGGGACTTCATCGAAACGTCGCCAAGACACTTCCAATTTTACGCAGGAGAAAACCCAAATAACCAAAGACGTACATACAAACACCCGCGAAAACCTCAGAAAACACATAGTATATATGTGTATATATATACACATAGTATATGTGTTCCACCCAATCAGAACACAGCCAAGCTCCCCCCAATCAGTTTATAACCCCATTGGTAGTTAAAAGGAAGAAACAGCTAAGACCACACATTGCTCCTCGAAGCACGAAGCTGAAAACAACAGCCTGAAGATGACGAATGGGACTTCAGCGAAACGTCGCCAAGACACTTCCAATTTTACGCGGGAGAAAACCCGAATAATCAAAGACTACATACAAATACCCGCGAAAACCTCAGAATATATATATATATATATATATATATATATATATATATATATATATATATATGTAGGTCTTTGGTTGTTCGGGTTTTCTCCTGCGTAAAATTGGAAGTGTCTTGGCGACGTTTCGATGAAGTCCCATTCGTCATCTTCAGGCTGGTGTTTTCAGCTTCGTGCTTTGAGGAGCAATTGCTTCGTGGTCGTGCCTCATCTTCATGGTGGGTGTCAGCTGCATCATTGGCCACTTTAAACCCCTCCAATCCATACATGAAGCAAACTGACACCCACCATGAAGATGAGGCATGACCACGAACGCAAAGCCAAACAATAGCAATGTAGCTCACCATCTCACATCCCCATGCAACTCAGACTAACCTGAGCACAAAAAAGCTCCCACCCAAAGAGAACACTCCCCCAACCAATCAAAGCACAGCCAGCCCCCCCATCCAATCAGAGCACAGCCAATCCCCCATCCAATCAGAGCACAGCCAAGCTCCTAACCAATCAAAACACACCTCCATCCAATCAGAACACAGCCAAGCTCTCATCCAATCAGTTCATACTCCCACTGGCAGTTAAAAGGAAGAAACAGCTATGATCACACATTGCTCCTAGAAGCACGAAGCCGAAAACACCAGCCTGAAGATGACGAATGAGACTTCATTGAAATGTCGCCAAGACACTTCCAATTTGACGTGGGAGAAAACCCGAATAACAAAAGACATATATATATGTTATGCGACCCCCGAGCGGCAACCTTTTAATATAGTAAAATACTTTAATTAAAGTATTTTAACTTTAAACTCTCCTGGTGAACGCGCTTTATTCATTCCATTTATATATATATATATATATATATATATATATATATATATATATATATATAAACTTTTTGACCTAAAATCATAAGTAGCAATGGATAGAAACTAAACAAGGAGAGAAGGAACTTATAAATAAGGAGTAATTTCCTGAAAGTTAGAACAATTAATCAGTGGAATAACTTGCTCCAGAAATTGTGGATGTTTCAGCACTGGAGGTTTTTAAGAAGAGGTTGGACAGCCTCTTGTCTGAAATGGTATAGGCTCTCCTGCTTGACCACTGCGTTGGACTAGAAGACCTCCAAAGTCTCTTCCAAATCAATTATTCTGTTTTCTGTTCTGCATTTGTCAAGAATGGTGTTAATTACCTTTTAAAGGTCACCAGTAATATGTGATCTAACTGAGCACAAATCTAAAGAGTAAATCCCAATTCAAAAAACAAGTCAACATTTTTTTTGAAAGTTCAGAATGTAGTTAAACTAGCCCAAAATCTTACAAAATACGTACCTGGTTAAATCTTGTGGGCCATGTAATTGAGTCATCATAAATACTGAGCGATTTAGAATAGGAAGGGTCTGGGTCTATCCATCCAACTTTGACTTTTGTGAATGTGTTATTTGAGTATGTGACCCAGTTGAAAATAACAAATCCAGCAATTATATGTCCCTTGTTATCAAAGGAAATGTTTTCGCCAGCACTGTTTTCAAAGAAAGTACTTCTTATAAACCTATGGAACTAAATAGGGGGAAAAGTTGAGAGAAAATGATGATATGAGACACTGTTCACAGTTGAAAACTCTGGGTAATGGTCCAGACATTACATACATTGCTGCAGAGACCAATATTAAGCATGCAAGATACCATAAAAGCACTTATTTCAATTAAAAGAAGGAGAAGGAGACAACATTTTCAGTGAGTTGTTCAGGTAGTAGGGTCACATTAACAAGAAAAGCTGAGGTGACACATTTGAATAAGTAAGTATCTTTAATGTGGCCAAGGTTGATCTGTTTAGGACTGTGTATTTCTTCTCTTTAAAGTAAAAAAAATGCTAATGTCTTTTATTATTATTTTTATATTTGTATCCCACTTTTATTGTTTGTACAAATAACTCAAGGAGGTGAACATATCCAACACACTTTCCTCTACTCCCTCATATTGATGTGACACAAATTTAGTGTTTGTGTATGTGTGTGTGTGTGTGTGTGTGTGTGTGTGTGAGAGAGAGAGAGGGGGGGGGAGGAAGGGAGGGAGGGAGAGAGAGAGAGAGAATATAATGTCTGTGTATATATATAATTGAAAATTAGCAGTAGGGAAAAATGCCTTTGAAGCTCTATTTCTTATAGTAATATAAAAACATTCACAAGCAGAAAAAAAAACAAAAATTACTTGGAGGAAAGAAATATTGATTGAAATTCTCTATATTGTTTTGCAGAATACCTGCCATGGCTCCTGATTTAATCGATCTTGTCCAATCTCTTTCATGTTTCCTCTCTGTTTTGTCTTGGATGAAGTTATAGCATGCAAAGCATATGCCATAATGTAAACTGCATTGTAGATGCTATAACTGTGACCAGACATGCTTGTGTCAAAGAGGGTCACAGGTAGACTCTCCAATTTTTCCTCCCCGGTGCAGGCCTCCTTATGTTTCTCTTCTAGAGTGGAATTTGAGAAATCACAATTAAATGCTTCTTTCCACAAGACTCTAATAAAGCTATCTCTATTTTCTGAAATAGGATTTCTTTCTCTCAGAAAGTTCTGGAACCCTGTAGGTGAGTTTGTGTGAATTGCAAAGGACAGAGCTCCATGGAGGCAATGTATGTCCCAATCTCTTAGAAAACCAGGAGAAGCAAAATCCATCTGGGCTGTCATGATCCACACTCGGCTATCAATTGCTATATCATAAAATTGTGCAAAGTGGAAAATTGATCTTAAGATGCTAATAGTATGCAGTTCACCTTGTATAATAACACTATTGGCTGTACTTCCTGTGACAACATGTGAAGTTGAAAACCATTCCATTGTTGCCTCAGCAACATCTCCTGAAAAAGACATTTTGGGCATTGTTTCTAAGAAGTCCACACAGATACCATGCTGAGAATATATGGGAAGAATATTCTGCTTAAATATTTCTCCGTTGTCATCATTATGGGCAATTACACCAATCCAGGTCCACTTGAAATGTAGCAGCAACTCTAGGATCCTCATAAATTGATGGGTCCCATTTGGAAACATCTGGTGGAAGAAATCTTCTTTTGTTTTGTCTTCTATTATTGGAGATGATCCGTAAATAATCTTAGGACAGACATACAAGGGAGAAGGTGAGACATCATGACAATCCATCTTATGATGGATTCAGTTGAAAGGAAAGACACTTGAAAAAGGACCCTTTCTCTCCATTCATATTTATGTTGCATTTTGGCTGAACTGTGATGCATTCCTTACTATAAAGGAGTGTAAAAGCAAACATTCCATCTGCAAAAATCTTCCTTGAATATCAGTGTTGTAGGAGATGACCACACTGAGTATGTCACCAATCTCGAGTTTCTTTGCATCCACAAGAGATCTAAATCCAGCCCACCCTGAATTCTATTCACTCTTATCTATGGCCAATTTCTTTGACCATTAGTAGTTCAGATTCTTGTAGAGAGTGAATTAGCATGCAATAAATCTGTAGTTATTTGAACTGCCTTGCTTCCAAATTCATTGAGCCTAAGAAGTGTGTCAAGGAGTCCTGCAGTTTTAGGGATGAGTCCTTAAATTAAGGCTGTTAAACACATGAATTTCTGGGATAAGAGCATGGTTTGATGTAATGATGAGTAGAAAAGGAATGAGTTCATTTAATACAAATTCATCATTCTGATCCTTCACATGCAAACATAGATTAAACAACCATGAATTTGGTTCTTCAGAAAAGAAATGGGATCATATATTATATATCATAAAATGATATATCCATTTTCTGATACCAGTACACAAGATCATATTTAAATTTGAGGAAGGTGGTTCTTCTTCATTGTTTTTTCATGCATACAGCTTACCTGAGGTACTTTGTAGGTGCTCAGGATGTTTGTCATGTGGAGACAGACTTGAGAATTAGGTCCCCCAATGACTCCCACAATGTTATTACGAAAATCACATTTGTAGTTAGGAATGAATTTGTCCTTTGTGGATAGTAGTTCCATAGAAGCAAGATAGGTCCATCTTGCAAAGAAATGGCTGTTTAAAATGTGGAAGCCTAAACTCACATTGGGTAAGAGTTGGGCATTCTCATTTATTTCCTTCACAGCAAATGCCAAGGCCAGGATGTGCTGGTAATTCTGAGTGAGCATCCTATATTAAAAGAAATAGTTTCAGGTGAACTCTGTTTTCTAGATAGTAATGTTCAATCTATCTAGACAGATTGCTATAAAAAACTGATCTGTGACATTCAAGGACTTCAAGTCAATTGCATAGAACAAGTTTTGGAAAATACGAAGCTAAAGAGTTACTCTTACAGTTTCAAAAACCAATTTGAAACATAATGTATTTTCTTCAGGGATATTACTGAAACATGAAACATGAAAACCTTAAGAGCTATTGCAAGGTCTTATCTTATCACAATATTTGGTATCTACCCATATCATTTATTTCATTTTATGTATTACTAAATGTCTATACCACCCATCTCACTTTGGTGATAATAGGCAAGAAATAAAACTTCATCTATTTTTACAATATAAATTTCTGCAAAGTAGGGCATTATGGTATTCTTACATTTTTACATCCATGTAGATGCTTTCATCTCTGAGCATTTAGCAAAGTTTAAGAAATGAAAATTAGAAGATGAAGACAAAAGCATAGAGGTGATTTGAGACCGCAAAAAAAAGTGAAAAGAAAAGAAACTAAGATGATAAAAGGCCTGGAGACTAAAATATATGAAGAACAGTTGCAGGATTTGGCTTTGGTTAATCTAGAGAAAAGGGGACATGATAGCAGTATTCCTGTATTTGAGAGGCTGCCACAAAGATGAGGGGGGTCAATTTATTTTCCAAAGCACCAGAAGGCAAGACAAGAAAGCAACCTGGAATGAAGGAGAAACTTCCCAATAGTGAGGACAATTAACCAGTGGAACAGCATTTGGAAGAAAGAAATATTGATTGAAATTCTTCTATATTGTTTTGCAGAATACCTGCCATGGCTGCTGATTTAATCAGTCTTGTCCTATCTCTTTCATGTTTCCTCTCTGTTTTGTCTTGGATGAAGTTATAGCATGCAAAGCATGTGTCATACTACTGTATATACTGCATTTTAAATACTATAACTGTGACCAGACCTGCTTGTGTCAAAGAGGGTCAATGGTAAACTCTCCAACTTTTCCTTCCCAGTGTAGATCTTCCCATCTTTCTCTTCTAGAGGGGAATTTGAGAAATCGCAATTAAATGCATCTTTCCACAAGACTCTAATAAAGCTATCTCTATTTTCTGAAATAGGATTTCTTTCTCTCAGAAAGTTCTGGAACCCTGTAGGTGAGTTTGTGTGAATTGCAAAGGACAGAGCTCCATGGAGGCAATGTATGTCCCAATCTCTTAGAAAACCAGAAGAAGCAAAATCCATCTGGGCTGTCATGATCCACACTCAGCTATCAATTGCTATATCATAAAACTGTGCAAAGTGGAAAATTGATCAGATGTTGTGGGTGCTTCATCACAGGAGATTTTTGAGAAGAGACTGGACAGTCACTTGTCTAAAATTATATAGGGTCTCCTGTTTGAGCAGGGGGCTGGACTAGAAGACCTCCAAGGTCCCTTCCAACTCTATTCTAATTGATTCATTTGCACGAACAGTTAGAAAGATTCCTCATAACATTTTCCCTCATTTTTTATTTTCTTCTTGTCCCCAGATTGTAGCTTTAAGTGAACTCTATAAATAGCACAAATAACTTGAGCACTTTCTCTGCTCAAATGTAACATGCTTATTATGTAATAACCTAAACTACTTACACAAGGTCATCAAAACCTTCCTCAGAAGGTGGTTTCTGAAAGCTGATTGGACTTGAAAAAATGTAGATCTGAGAAAAAATGCTTGCAATGATGAAATCGCCTGGCTGGTGATACTTGTGAAGAATAAAAAGAGGCTTACCAACAGGACACTTAGCAATAGAAACCTTACTTAAGCCATGAGGCAGAGTCCTTATACCTATCACCAGGGCCACAAATAATACCACTTTGTCTGAAACATTTCCTGCTTTCCTCCAAAGTGTCTGTTCCTTCACTGACATTTGAATACTATTGAGTCAAGAGGCAAAACATAGCTTATCTAAAGCCAAAACTGTACAATATTTACTATAAATGCTCATGGGTGTGAAAGCCTGCCTGTCATTAGCTTCAACTCAAGGTGAGATATGAAGCGTTAGTGTAGTTAAGTATCTTCCCATCCCAAGGGACTAGCTAGGAAGAGATAGCATTAAACACAGTTATTTCATAATTATGACCTGATCAGGAAATAATGACCAACTTGAATTCTGAGTTCACCATAATGTTTTCAGAGGTCAACCTATCGATGCTTCTCACAGCTCAGCTGCTATCTTACTTTCTGAATATAAGAGGAACACCAGATGTGTAATATCCCTTATTAAGAAAAAGAATCAATAACTTAAAAAACAGACCTTTTGAAAGAGCCATGAAAAAGAATTGTTTATTTATTCATTCATTTATTTCCATTTCTCCTTGCCAGTTTTCAATTTAGGGCAATTTTGGCATATTTTTGAATCTCAGGTGGACCATATTAATAATCTTCCTGTAAACCTAGATAGTTCATGAATTATATTGCCACAAGACTTCTGCAGTATTTTTGTGTTTAGCTAAACATTTGGAAAACTATTTATTTGGCTGCATAAAGAGAAATAGCCTCCAATTTTTGGGATAACTTCTGCTATGCATGGAATAGAATGCTATGCATGAAGTATCCATCCTTCCTTAATTTGACCTCCCAGCCAATTTTCACAACATAGACAGCAGTATGTAATGTATGTATGTATGTATGTATGTATGTACGTATGTATGTATTTAATTAATTATTTTCAATAGCCATCCATCTTAACAAGTGACTCTGGGCTGTGTACATCATAACACATAAAACAATTTTAAAAATTTAAAATAATTGAAATAGTAGAAAATAAATATCTATGGCAACCAAGTAAAACTATTACTATGAGTAATAATACATGCAGGAAATGGAGCCCTTAACACACTTTGGACTCTAGACCCAGTCACACAATAGCAATAGCAATAGCATTTAGACTTATATACCACTTTACAGTGTTTTACAGCCCTCTCTAAGTGGCTTACAAAATCAGCCTATTGCCCCCAACAATCTAGGTCCTCATTTTACCAACCTTGGAAGGATGGACAGATGAGTCAACCTTGAGCTTCTGAGAAAAGCAGCCAGCAGTCAGCAGAATAGCTTGCAGTACTGCGTTCTAACCACTGTGCCACCATGACAACCAAGTCTTTATAATCTTATAAAAATGCCAACAGGATTGGGATCATCCCAATATCTGAAGGGAGAAAATTCAGAATGCAGAACCTATACTACAGAAGGGACTTCTCCCAGTTCCCCCCAGCTGATATTCCTTGGTTGATGGGATTGCAATATCTCCCAACCTGTCTGACCAAATGGACAGGTAGAAATGACTGGAGGAAAATGGTCCCTAAGCCATGAAATGCTTTAAAGGTGCTAACCAGCAACTTGAATTGAACCCAGGATTAGATTGGAACAGGGATAGGCAACCTTGGCTCTTTTATGACTCCTAGAAGTCCATGAGTCATAAAAGAGCCAAGATTGCCTACCCCTGCACTGGAACAATGCAGCTCACAAAGCAGTGGTGTTACTTGTATTGAATATCCAACACCCTTTATTACCATGGAGCCACAATCTGCACCAGATTAAACTTCTGTCTGAAGCCCCATATAGAATGGACTGCAGTAGTCCAGACAAGAGATCAGAAAGTCATGAACAAAGCCACCCAATGCAGCAACAGGCACTACTGGTTTTCCATCCTAAGCTGTGCAAAGCCCTTCTGAGCAGGACTGTCACCTGCTCTTGTAGCAGGATCTGTGAGTCTAAGAAGACCCCCCCCAGATTGTGCACCATTTTCCCCTTAGGTATTGTCACCCTATCCAGGACTAATGGTGGAAAACCCTTTTTATCAATAGGGTCAAATACCCAAAGCCACTCAGTCTTCCTTGGGTTGAGTTGAACCCCATTACACTCCATACAGACCCTTTCAGCCTCCAGACACTGGGACAAGACATCTATTGCATTGTTCAGTCAGACTAGATGGAGATACAAAGTTGAATACATTTGACAGAGCTTTTCTGCAATGGTGCCTACATTGTGAAAACCTTTACCCAAGTGCTGAGTTGGCCAAAGGTCCAGAACCTTTGAACGTCTCTCAAGACCTGATGGGGATCCTTAGGGGATTCAAAACTCATGAGGTGGCTCCATCATTTTTGACATTCCTCCATGTATTATTTTTTCTTCTCTTGTTAGAGTGTTTAATGTTTTGATTTATAATAATTTTATTTATCAATTATCGTGGAGATCACTTTCCATGAAATGGGCAGTAATATAAATTTGATAACTAAATAAATAAGAAAAATCATAAAGTGAAAAAACAAACATATGGGCTTTATGGTTCAATTCCCAGCTTCCCACTCCATGTCTCCTTTCTCATGGAGAACCAAATGAATGATTCTGCAAGGCAGTGAAAAGAGTCTAGAATAATAATAATAATAATAATAATAATAATAATAATAATAATAATAATAATAATCATCATCATCATCATCATCATCATCATCATCATCAGAGGAGTCAGACAAAGAGTGTCTCTCCCATAAAAAATATGGTGAGACGTAAATTACAGAATGCCATACCGGCTCGAATGTTGCCCGGGTTAACAAGGTCTGCGCTAGATATTGGAGTTCCTGGATATCTGGTGAAAAATGGGTTACAGGACTCAGGACTGTTGGCTGAGCAACCAGGGCCAGCAGCTGCAGAACTACTGGAAGAAAAGGTGTTTACCCGTCGCAGATACACAGTGATTGAAAACAAAGAAATAATGATCTGTTACTACAGATCAAGTCCAACAAGAAGAGGATATCTAAAATGAATGCACCAGTTCTGGAAAGAACAACATCCAGAATCAGAAATAACAGAACAGAGACTAGCAGATCAACGCTGATTTATAATATGAAATAAAGTATTCACAGAAACAGAATTGGACGAACTGCAAAGGTTTACCCAGGGCAAAGAAATCAAAGCCTTACCAGAAGTAATTCAGAATGTAGAGGCAAACCAGGGGGAGTTGGCAGTGAAGGAATCCAGCAGAGATATATAACTGTTCTCATTTGGAAACCAGGCACCTCTACCTCAGGAAGAACAAAACCCTGTAAATAAAGAAAAAAAAGAATTGAAACAAAGAATAACTGAGCATCTAGAACAGCACAAAAATAACAGAATAAGCTTGCCTGCATTGAAACTTGTTCCAAAGAAACAGCTAGCACAAGCATTAAAAGATGCAAATACTGCAATATCAAGTATAAGCACCAATTCACTGCAAGAAACAAACCAACTAATGTACAGCACAGCTGCAGTTATAACAGAATACCAGGAATGCAAAATCAACAAAGAAGAAAAACAAACAGCGCACCACAAAAATGAAAGGTTAGACTAGAAAATAAGATCAGCAAGTTAAGATCACATGCAAGCAAGCTAGAACAGATGAAATAAAAGAAGCTGAAGAACAAGAAGACCAAAGTATACCTAATCAAGAAATACCACTTAGAAACAAAGAAGATCAAGGAAGCACTGGAAATAATAAAGCAGCAAATAAAAGCTATAGCCAGGAAAATCAGTAGATATGAAGCTCGAATTGCAAACTATAGGCAGAACCTGCAATTTCAATCAAATCAGAAATGTTTCTACCAATCCATCAATGGAGAAACTACAAGGAATCAGTCAGTACCTGACAAGGAAGAAACAGTGCAGTTCTGGAAGCAGATATGGGATAACCCAAAGAAATACAACAAGGATTCGGCTTGGTTAATATCAATAGAGGAATATTTCAAGGAGATTCATTATCACCATTACTATTTGTCATTGCACTGTTTCCTCTGTCAACAATACTAAATAACTCAGGACATGGCTATCAAACATCAAAAACATCTACCAGACTATCCCATCTCCTTTACATGGATGATCTGAAGCTGTATGGAAAAACATCATCTGAAATAGAATCCCTGCTCAACACTGTCCGTATATAAAGCCAAGATATAGTTATGGAGTTTGGCTTGGACAAATGTGCGACACTTACTATCAAACAAGGAAAAATAGTGAAAACTGAAGG